GAGTGACGTATAATATCATGCATCGGCAATCACTCACTGAACGTGACTACTAACCACACGTTCACCGCTAATGCAGTTTTCACGTATCAATAAATTAGGTATATAAATCAACGGGCCCTGAATCAAAAACCTAGAATCTTATTTACTTTTGCTTTACATTCGCTTTGCGCATGCTTCCATTCGTTTTCTCCACTGTCATGGAAACGAAGAAACTTTTGTAATTCTTGGAACTCTCACATTTGTGTACAAGCTCCATTTCTGGAATCCTGCTTTTATGGGGCATAAGGGGCAACGCTGATCCCTGCTCGATTCGTGAGAAACAATTTTTCGTGCAGTCATCAAGATGTACATCGGCAGGAAGACATCAGTAGTACCCAAAAGAATAAAAATTTTGTGCGAGGTTACGTCTTGCCCAGCGCTCACTACATTTTAATAATCATACTATTGACTGCCTTACTGCTCGCCGTTTCAATGCATCAAATAGCGGACAACACAAATGCGAAATATTGCAAATACCAGTGATATCACAGAAGAAAATTTTATACTTATGCAGCGGGGTTAATACGCAAAAATGCCTCATTTCAAATATGACATACACAGTTAATGAAAAACTTAATGAAGCAGCGTATCAGTCAGTCACGCACAGCGCAATCCGCCCTGTCAGTAATCAAGTTAAGTACTAAGGTATCATTTTAAGTTTAGACTTCTACTGAAGAGAGTTCTCTAACCCATTATTCAGAAAGTACTATAAAACCCTATTCTACACCCCAACGATCCGAAACGGGCATGCGGTGAATCAAACTATCAGATCACCCATTTCCGCATTTACTCTACCACTTTCTGTGGCGTATTTTATTTTTCAAGGCTTGATGTCTGTTTGTTCAGAATCCTTAGCTAATTTCTGAGACTGATCGCCAAATGTACTGCTCTCCTTCAAACTCGTCAACTGCAGGTAGACAAACAGGCAATACCTGAGAGTTACGGAAAAAGTTCCATTATTAGGTAATATTAAATATAGAGAAAATTGCATTTTTATGAAGAATGCCGAGGATTTTACCTACCAGGCCATTCCTAATTTCTATATATGCGCGAATGGAACGGTATCACTACTTGGTCGATCTTCTTCGGCAACTCCCTTACTGACTAACTGGATCATGAGAACATCGATGTAATAGCCTTGGCATGTTGCGCAGATATGCAAACACCGAAAAGCGAGGCATCCATATTCCGCTTGAAACTTCACGCAACCCATAGACGTTTCAATGCTCTATTTTGGCAAACTTTATTTTTGTCCTACAATGTTGAATCTGGCGTTCAGTATCGCTTTTAAAGTACTCAACCCAGACAACGAGTAGTAAGCTTAACTGCTGGGATCTCGACCATGAAGCATGCAGCACCCTTAACACAGTGAATTTACCAGATGCAACTCTGACTAACCAAACATTCCTATAAAGAGGTCAACTCAAGACAGGTTAATTACCTTATGCAACAAGAGAGATACCAGCAAAATTATAGCTTTACCAAAACATTGCTGCATAATATCTGGAAAGACAATGAAATTTGAGTTCACAGATAATTTATGGCAGGTGAGGATTATCAGGTAGAAGTCGCTATTCTTGCAATTCTTGCGGCTTTCTCAGGGTCTATGCAACTGATCGCCGGTAGAGATCGGTTCGAGCTAATTGGCTGATAATCCAATTACGAGCTCATTATGCAGAGATACAGCGCGCTGAAACTTTGGCAGTGAGAAGAAGCAATTTTAGTGAAGTCCAGAAGCTGAGGTGTCTGGAATGTTGACAACAGGCTGCATGCTGAAAGTCAACAAAACACCCATCAGACATTGATCAGAAGAAAACAAATCCGTGAATACCAAGAAGCACTTCTTTTTCATCAGTCATTCGCTACGATGGCAAATACCTCGTGATTATTAACGACTGGATGATACCTAAGACACATATACGTCAAACGCTTACGTCTACTAAACGAAAGGTTCATTAGCGGTTGTTTCAGTGGAAATTGATGACAAGTGTTGTCGCTGATTCTTAAGGCAAGAAAAGCTTCCAGCAGCACTTGTGCACACTAATTTTGTATGGCAATTCTGGTTGAAATACTATTTCAAATATTCCGAGATCGCTGAATCTTTTAGAGTCGGATTATTTAAAAGAGGTTAAGTTCGAAGACGAGGTAAAATTTAACAATTTATTGTCGACAAGCATCATGAACTTCAGGGATGAAAACGAATAAGGGAGAACGTTAGTCGCTGCTGATTCTGAGTGTTAACTGAATAATGAAAACTGCAATGAAATCTGCGGACATCAAAGTTCGCCTATCGTCTCGGCCCACTTGATCGATATCGCTTTTGTCAGAGGAGAACCCAAGTCTTTGTTGAAAAACGAAACGACTGCGATACTTAAAGCTGAAAGTTGTCAGCGCGTTTTGAGAGTTCACGAGGAGTGATTCTAAAGCGAGTGGTGCGTCAATACCACCTAAATTGATTCCCGTCTACAGTTTCATCAAACCAATCAATTTTGGAGGAAAATCATTGAGCGATAAACAGAAAACCGCTGGTGCTACTGGTTGGATGTAACAGTTACCAACGACCTAGTAAACCAAAGTAGATTCTAACCAATTTGGTCCTCTTGTACTTTAAGTTAACTCACGGGTACTTCACACTGTTTCCTAAATTTTTTAGTTTGCTGCTAGGCGGTCTGTAGACTAAAATACTAAGGCGTAGTTGAGATTCTCCGCTACTGCAGGGAATAAACTGCTCTATCGTACTGATTC